ATATTTTTCCGTAGTGCTATTGAACTAAAAATAACTGATCGATTTGTACACTTAATCGGATTTTATTCCATGTCTCATGTGTACATATTATATTACTCTGAATTCTGAAAGGTGCTTATAATAAATACTTTTTATTTTTTTTTATGGGAGGGGGGTATAGCTGTATAGGTAAAAATATGTTGAAATATTTTATCCCCCCCCACAAACATGGCCAAATTACGCCACTGTATATTTATGTACCTATATAGTATAAGTGACTAAAATAAATTATAGAAAAGTGCATAATATTGCATTTCACGTTTATAATTATACCCATATATTGTATGCAAAATTATCATTATGCCTACTTGTTGCCAAGTTGCATTTCAGCTAAATAAGTTTAAATTTATTCATCTTGTCATCTTGATACACAATGTAATTATGTAATTTCATATGTCCATACCATTATTTTTATCTAGGTAGGTATTTTAATAGGTAATGTTATATAAATACAATTATTTTTGATGCAATAATAATTATGGTTTTGCAGACTAGGTATATAGTTTGAATAAAATAAGGTAGGTAAAGTACARCAGTACAAGTAAGTAAATAAAATAGGTATTAAMACAATAATTCGTCAATCATTGATAACATCAGTTCCTAATTAAAACAACCCTATTAAAGTTGAAATAACAACAGCGCATTGCCAACTTAAAATCAAATCGCAGTTAATAAGAACGTTTTATTAGCTATTTAAAATAAACAAATTATAATTTTTAAGATAATTACATTTCGTATTTTTCCCATGTATAAAGGTTTTATTTTAACAAGATTATATTCAAATAAACTATATTAATAAGTTGAAATAATATTATGTATATATTGTTATTTTAATATTGATTATAGTCAAACCATATTTTGGTTTAAATATACTCCTGTTGGTGTTAATTCAAATCCAAAATTTGTATAATTAACAACTATACCGTCAACAACATTGTAAAAAGTTAAATCAACAATAGTATTTTTGTGTACAAACATTGAATCTTAACTATATAATAACAACACAACTTAAAGAATTTTTGTATTTTTTTTTTTTTTTTAATTGGTGAGGGGGTTTTCTGAGAACAAAAATTATAGTTGAAAAAATATAATATAATGTAATTAATATTAATATTAAATAATATCATGATGATGGCGGCACGGTTTCATTATTCGTCCACATGGTAATTGATTAACTTACACTTATCGTCCAACATCTGGGTGGGCACGTAGCACGAATTAGATGAGGGTGGCTTAGATACATTCACTTTAAAACACATGAAACAATGGCCGTTGCAATAGCAACCGTTAACTTTATCGGGGCATACCTTTTCACAATATTCTTTGTTGTAGTACATAGTGTGTCCCTTATCGTCCTTATCACACACGAGACACTCGAAAGTCGATGAGTTCTGTGAGTTTGGTGTGGTGTCGTTGATGGGAATGCACGGTCCACCCCATTCTTTGTAGCACTCCGATTGCAAGCATTCGTTACACGACGTGAAATTAATGCTAGTAGGTGAAGTTGAATTCGTTGAAGACAAATTATCATCGTCAGAGAACACGTAGATGAAGTTCAAAAGTATGGCGAAAACAACCACGGGCACGACGGTGTACGACAGAAACATTTTGGCTTTGCTGTTTTTGTTGTTTTTTCGGAGGAAATCGAGTATGGTACCTAATATGCGGTACTGCGATGTCTGTTATTTCGGAATCTGTTCCTCAACGACGACGAAGTTGATCCGGTCACTGTTTGAGCGTTAATAGTTGATGGACTGACACTACAGTTCCGATCGGTTTAAGTTTCGTTTTTATGGCCTAACGGCTGTCGGGATCACAATCGTTGCGTCGTTTAATTGGTCGGGTCTCGTCGTGGTAGGGTTGTGCGATAATTGCATATGTAATGAGGTTTACTACCATATTAGTTGAAAAATCTACACCAACACATTTTATACTAACTACAACTACAAGCTTGTTGTTGCATTAGGTGTTCTATGCTTTATTTTAACATATGGCCAAACATTTTAAAATAACACCAGCCTAATGTTATCGTAAATATCTAATTTATTGATTTTGAAAATAAATTGTAAAAAAAATGCAAAATTTAACTTTTGTCCTTTGGGCGACAAGACGACAACATGTTCAGCATCACGGATTCGCTCTCGTTACCCCCGTGCTGTTACGGCTACCTACCTATCTATCGACTATCTATTACTATCCAGATAGTAATTCTAACAAAAACATGTTATTTAATAGAATGTTTTTTTTAATATAATTTTACATAATATTGCATTTCACGTTTATAATTATACCCACATATTATATGCAAAATTATTATTATGCCTACTTGTTGCCATGTTGCATTTCAGCTGAATTAGTTTAAATTTATTCATCTTGTCATCTTGATAAACAATGTAATTTCATATGTCCATACCATTATTTTTATGCTTTTGCAGACTAGGTATATAGTTTGAATAAAATAAGGTAAGTTTTATTTTATAAGCATTGTACAAAATATATCATAAACATAATTATAGGTATGTAAATAAAATAGGTATTAACACAATAATTCATCAATCATTGATAACATCAGTTCTTAATTAAAACAACCCTATTAAAAATGAAATAACAACAGCGCATTGCCAACTTAAAATCAAATCGCAGTTAATAAGAACGTTTTATTAGCTAGTTAAAATAAACAAATTATAATTGTTAACATAATTACATTTCATGTTTTTTCTCATGTATAAAGGTTTTATTTTAACAAGATTATATTCAAATTAACTATATTAATAAGTTGAAATAATAATATGTATATTGTTATATTAATATTATTTATAGTCAAACCATATGTTTTAAAAATACTCCTGTTGGTGTTAATTCAAATACAAAATTTGTATAATTAACAACTATTCCGTCAACAACATTGTAAAAAGTTAAATCAACAATAGTATTTCTGTGTACAAACATTGAATCTTAACTATATAATAACAATAATTTAAAGAATTTTTGTATATTTTTTTTTTTTTTACTTGGTGAGAGAGTTAGGAGGGGTAATTTTTCTGAGAACAAAAATTATAGTTGAAAAAAAAAATATAATGTAATTAATATTAATATTAAATAATATCACGATAATGGCGGCACGGTTTCATTAACCGTCCATATGGTAATTGATTGACGTACACTTATCGTCAAACATCTGGGTGGGCAGGTTGCACGAAAGAGATGAGGTTGAGTTAGATCCACTCCAATCAAAGCACGTGAAACACTGGCCGTTGCAAAAGCAACCGTGTTTATTATTGGGGCATTCCTTTTCACAATATTTTTTGCTGTAGTACAAAGCGTTTCCATCATCGTCCTCTTCACACACAAGACACTCGATAATCGTGTCGTTGATGGGAATGCACGGTCCACCCCATTCTTTGTGGCACTTCGATTGAAAGCATTCGTTACACGACGTGAAGTTAATGCTAGTTGGAGAATTTGGATTCCTGTAAGCCGAACTATCATCGTCAGAGTACACGTAGATGAAGTTAAAAAATATGGCGAAAACGAACACGGGCACGACGGTGTACGACAGAAACATTTTGAAAATCGAGTCTGGTACCTAATATGCGGTACTGCGATGTCTGTTATTTCGGAATCTGTTCCTCAACGACGATGAAGTTGATAGGGTCACTGTTTGAGCGTTAATAGTTGATGGACTGACACTACAGTTCCGTTCGGTTTAAGTTTCGTTTTTATAGCCTAACGTCTGTCGGGTTCGTGATCGTTGCGTCGTTTAATTGGTCGGGTCTCGTCGTGGTAGGGTTGTGCGATGGGCGGTCGAATCAACACGACAAAATTATTTTGCTTGACTTCCGTCGTACAGTGTGTAACGTTACGCTGTAATTATCTCTGTGTCAAATCCTCTACGTGATAACTATACGTCCTGCGCAGTGGATGTGGCATTGTTCAACAGCAATTCTTTGTAGAAATGTGCGACATATAGTTTCAATTTCT